CCATTAACTTTAACAGAAATTATGAGTTGAGGGAATAAACATCAAACCAAATACAACTAAATTTTAGCTTTTAAAGTTTTTATAAGTTATCTTGAGATAAGATTGATTTTTAGTCATTAAAGATTGATTTTAGTTACAATAGAGGAAAAAGTTCATATAGAAAGCAATGAAAGTATACAGCATGCCAGAAACACCCAATACAGTGTCCAAGGAAGACCTGCCTTTTATTTCTCTTGCTACTTCTCTGCTATTTGAGTAACCAAGAAACAGCCTGGGGAACAAGTTTATAGACACAGCTCTTAGCACTGAATGTGGAAAAAAACCAAAACAAACCCAAAACAAGAAAAACCCCAAACCCCCCCCAAAAAAAAGAAAAAGGAAAAAACCCACAAAACCAAAAAAGCACCACAAAAACCAAACAAAAACCAAAAAAAAAAAAAACCAAACAAAACCCCAAAACACAGCCCAAAAACAAAACTCAAACCAACCCCAAACAACTGAAGTTATTCACCCCCTTTAAATACATTATTTTGGCCATGGTAGGCTTTCAAGCTACCTAGACAGTTTTGCAGCAATGAGAAATAAACACTGGATGTTTTCAAACAGAGGGCTAATACCAAATGGCCAATAGTTTTCACTTGTTTCCACATCTTGCTTTCAAAGAGAAGTGAAAAATGAAGGCGAAATAAGGGAAAGAAAAAGATATAAGAAATAGTGACCTCTAAGAAGTGAGTGATAGTTCATATACTGCTGGTAAAAACAGCAAGTTTTCAGAGTAGAACAGAAACATTATTCAATTTATTAAAATAGAACTGCAGGCAGTAGTATGCAGGCAGGAATGTTATTTGTAAGTTGTAGCCCAAATTTGTCTTCTGAGTTGGCAAACGGCCTGCTGTATTCGCAAAGTAACAATTTAGCTTGTACCCAAGTGTTATTATGCCACTAAGTATATTTAGTTTTAAAAGTCCTCTGATCTTATTTAAGAGAGACCGGTACCTTCATGATATGTTCCCCTTTTAGCCAGTTAATAGGCATAAGGAATTCACAAACTAGAGAAAAATGAAAAACTATTTTACAAAGCCAATAGGAAAAGCAGTAACAGAAGTAGTTTAATACTTCCTCTGGTAGAGATGAGAAATAAAAGGAAACAGGTCTTTGTTGGGTAAGTAACATGTATAGTGTAATACCTGTCCAGGAACGACTGCTCTGGAGAAAAGCTTATTTAACTGAACCAGTTCATTGGGTGTTGTATCAAATTTCAAGGCAATACTGTTTAAAGTATCTCTTGATTCCACCTGTATCAATTGGGAAAACAAAAAGAAAAACAAACCTGTAAGCAGTTAGTTCAAATAGTGGCTTATGAATTTTATCATGTGTAGATTTACTAAGATTTTGATGAACTGTAAGTCTTCAGATCTTATGACTGTCATCCCCTACCACACCAAAAAAAGAACAAAAAACAAAAAACACCCCGAACAATCACAAAACCGAAGTACAAAACCCCACAACAAAATAAACTCCTACAAACATACCTACCCCTGAACATGAGGATACTGCAACAAGACACCTGCCTTCCCCCTATGCTTCCTTGTGGCCAAAAGTGTCAGTCACACATTCCGAACTGTAGGCTCGGCTACTGCATGAGAACTTCTGCTCTATAAATTCATTTCTGAGTACCACTGGACCAATACACAATTGTCTGGTTACACAGAACCCTTCATTCTCCAAATCCTCAGATTTTCACTGAAAATTGCTGAAGCAATCTCTAAATGCAAATGCAGCCTCTTCCTACTGAAATAAGCTTCTGTTAACCTGACTTTCAAGTAAAAACCTTCACTGAGGTAAAAAGCAAAAGTACTGAAGCAAAACAGGTCAACTAGGCTGACAGCAGATGGAGCAGAAGCATTTTGAGTAGGTGATTCCTCAGTAAAGAAAGGGTTTTTTCCAAGTTATTTTCACCCCCATTTTCTAAAATGCATTCAGTATGAACCAACAGAAGAAAGCAAAGGGGAAAAAAGTTTTATTCACAGAGAGTATTTCAGAATAAAGAACTGTTAGCAGGCATTTAAGAACAGGGATATGACAAGGTAGCATACAACCAAAGTAAGTTTATTGCATAATGCATAGGGCTTCATAAATGCTGTACCAGAGAAAATAAGAGAAGATGAAGCAATACAAGCAAAGCTATGTTTGTGTGGCTAAACATCGAGCACAGCTAGAAAAAAAAAAATTCTACTGACGCCTGCCTTAAATGTCTTCTCAGTTGTCCCTCTAATTACATCTGCAGAAGCTATACACCTTCCATACTATATAAATAGCAAGTATTAGACTATTTACACACAGATTTAAAATTTCCTCCTATTTTCAGGCTGTTCTTTTAACTAGCTTCTCTTGACAATTACAGAAAAGACTGCTTTCTCTTTTAAATTCCCTCTACTTAGTTTTCAAGGGAGAAGTAGGGAACAGTGATGAGTGAAAGTCAAACCCATTTTTCTTCACAGTGTATGCTCTACATGTAACAGTTTTGAGAAAGTCAGTGGATATCATTAGCTGACTCTGCGTACCCACTAGGTATCTTCTGCTCTTCATTCACTTCCTTAACAAAAATGTGTAGCACCATGTCTTGTATGCCTTGCCAACTGTTACTAGAATTAAACAGATATCCTTTACCTTCGCTTGAATGATTAAACTGGGTCAGAAAACAGAATTGAGGCTAGGGTGAAGGGAGTGAAAGAAAGAAGAAGTCTCTGAGCATACGTTTTAATAGCTTTTTGTAGTGCTTGCCCCAAGAGTAGACCTTACACAGTCACAGAGAAAAAGGCAGAGTCTGAAACCAAAAGACTAAACCAATCTGCTTTCATAACCATACTACAGTGGAGGTAAGCAACAAAACATACATTGGGCTAGCCTGCCTACAGCTGTACTCTGCAGTGGACTGTGTCAGTTGAATTAATACACTCCATGTAACTAATAAGCATTATATGGTTTGCTGTCAGTAGACTGTAACAAGGCATATTTATTCTTCACGGAAGCAGCAAACATTTTGCCAGAATGGAAGAATATGCTTCTACAGGTTATAGTGTTAGTTAATATTCAGTGATTAAATATTTAAACATTTTATTTGCATTGCAAGAATAGCTGGCAAATGGAGTTCCTACTGGCTGCAATGCAAAAGTAGAATAAGAAGTTAAATAATTGCTCCTCAAAACACATTCCCACTTAAACGTTCCAAAGCTTAACATTGAACAGAATGTTCACCCCAGAATGTTTATTTAGGAAAATAAATACTCTATTAACTTTTTTCAAAGTTATGTCATGTTAGGGAACACATGTCAACAGTACAGGAATAACTGAGTGTAACTGACAGATACAAAAGAGATGTGGGTTGTCCTGCAAGAAAAACAGCTACAAATATAATGTACTTTGAAAGCTGTTACAGTTCAAGAGATAAAAAACAGAGGGCAATTTGGGATACTAACATAACTAAGGTTTGTGAGTAACAGTTGAAGAGTCTCCTTGAATACAGAGTTCATTATCATTTTGTAAAGATGCATTTATCAGCCTAGATTCACTAAAGAAAAAAGATAAGGTATGGCCAAAAATATGGCAACTAGCTTATTTTAGATAATTTTCTAATTCTATAATGACAATTCTTTATATAGGAAGCCATTAAGCTAAACAAAGCAGCAAACATCTGTCTCCAGCAGTATGTGATATAACTCTTGTAGCAGCTCTTAGTAATTCAGTACGGTATGATCATGCAGATATGCAAAAAATAAGAATATTCTCTTATGTCACTTTCAAGTGGTTCTAAAGCAGAAATCGAAATAGAAACATAACCTGACTAGAAATGTAGTACTTGTTGCTCAGATGATAATAAAACTTGCCACCAAATCAAGCAACAGTGGTGTTTCCATTAGACACTCAAGGGCCACAAAGATGCTCAGAGGGCTGAAGCACCTCTCCTGTGAAGACAGGCTGAGAGAGTTGGAATTGTTCAGCCCAGAGAAGAGAAGGCTCTAGGGACACCTTACAGCAGCCTTCCAGCACCTATAGAGACCTACAAGAAATCTGGAGAGGGACTTCTTTCAAGGACATGTAGTGACAGGACAAGGGGAAAATGGCTTTAAGTTGACAGATGGGAGATTTAGATTAGATACAACGAAGAAGTTCTTCCCTGAGAGGGTGGTGAGACACTGCAACAGGTTTCCCAGAGAAGCTGTGGCTGCCCCATCCCTGTAAGTGTTCAAGGCCAGGTTGGACAGGGCTTGGAGCAACCTGGTCTAGTGGAAGGTGTCTCTGCCCACAGTAGGTGGTTGGAGCTAAATGAGCTCTAAGGTCCTTCCAACCCAAACCATTCTATGATTCGAAGATAATTCAGAAGGTTTCCTAAAACAAACTGTAAAGTGAGATGCAAAAGCTTTGCCCAGTTCAAAAGTTTGCTCTCATATGAATATTGGAGGACATCAGCTGCTACGTATTCAATAGGTATCTCTTAATGATTGAGACATTTAAAACTAAGTTATGCCACAATACAAAATATATTAAAAGCATCCAATTAAAACCCACAAAGCTTAAGCACTTTGACAGTGTATTCACTCTTTTCAGCCTTCAGAAAGAAAACCATCTGGTGAGATCTCTTGGCAGCTAAAGGTTTTATCTCACAATCAGGAGCACAAGAATGGCAAATATGAGCTTCCTTTTCTTATTTGGCTGTAAAATTTGCACAGGCAAATCTCTGCACTACACGGGATTTTCAGAGACCAGCACTGACACCTTCTTAAAACAAAGAAACCGTTCACGTAATAAAGACTTCCTGAAGTATCTCCTTATTTTCTAAATCCAAGATCTATTTTCCAATTCTCAGGTTTTCTGCTATATAAAAAAAAAAATAAAAAAATCTGAACAGCCAAAAGCTGAAAAAGTAACCTTGTGGAAAAGCACAGTTTAAGAATTATCACATTAAAAACATGCCACCACATACCACAGCCACCCCCCAGCTTTTCCAATTATTTTTTCCTCATCTACTCAATACTGGAAGAGAGGGCAAAAAGTCATACTAAATGAATTTTGTAAATATTCAAATATTAAAGCACTATGCTGAATCTTCATGGGATTATTTCCCCTTCTGAGATGAGAGGGGAGTCATGAATTATGAACAGTGACTGCATTGTTTCATGAGTTTAAGAGAATGGCAAGATTTGTTCCAATACAAGTAAACCTCCAAAAAAACAACCACCAGACATGTGAAAACACTATTTTATTCCCTGACACAATCCAAAATAGACTTGAGCTGGCCAGCTGGTATCTTGAAGTGGTTCAGTACACATCATGCATTTGATTTGCTTCCTTCAGGATACTGACTCGAATATAAAGATTGAAAGATACTGATTAATGAAAGTGTAAAAAGAAAACAAGAATCACTTATTCAGGATTGTGTTAACACACACAAACTGCTTTGTACAGTAACTTCTGTTGAGTAAGAGCTTCTTAGAATATTAAGTAGTTTCCTGTACTCAGTAGCAAGAGCTTTTAGTCATCAACTCTTATGTAGATGACACTCAAGACCTTACTACTTAGTTACTCCTACTGTATGCAGTCACTTAGATATGTATACAAATAAGTCTAAACTTCTAAGTTAACTAAAATAATTTTTTATAGATATGACTAGATACAGAAAGAGTCACTGAAGATCCATAGCTTCCATCTTTCTTTTCCAATGAAATCCCAAATTAAACACTCTCTTCAAATCACCGTGTCCGTATTTGAGCAGAGGTACATCCCATTATCCCTTTTCCTTTTACAGAGCACTACTTTTATACCCATATTTGCCAGGTGTGCTTATGTGCACCAGTAGAAAAACAGCTACAGAGTCACCACTGACTGGACCCAAACTGCCTCCACTTCTGTCAGATTAGCAACTGGCAAAGTTATCTAAAAATCTTATTTAAAACCAAATCCTCTACTGCCATTTAAAATGAACTTCATTGTCATTGCATCTCAACAGCTGGAGTTCATTCATTCTTCCATTAGAAGTTAAGACACTGAATACACATGAATCAGAGTACACAAATAGGTTTTTTAAAAGAATTTCAAGGCTAGCTGTCCAAGAACCAGAAAACAACAAAACAATAGTTTCAGAGCATTAAAAGGAGCTAATGAAATTGAGGACATGGGAAGACTAGACAGAGAGGTGAGGAAAAAGGGAATAACAAATCACCTGGAGTTTAGAAAGCACATCCCCCCCAAACACCAAAACAAAACCCACAAAACAAAGAAAAAACCCACTAACTTTTCAAGAGTGCTGGTGTTTGTGTGTGTGTCTGATTTCTGCCTTCATTCTTCTGCTTCTCAAAGCAGCAACGAATGCAGACATATAAATGTGCACATGCTGTTGCTTTGAGAGGTAGTAGGGCTAAGGCAGAAATCAGACATAAGTTTCCCTCTCTACATGGATTAAAGTAATAAATAGTCACAGTAGCAAATTATCACAATAGTTACCAGACCTCTCATAGACATAGTGAACGTAATTTCAGTTTCTAAAGGTTAGATCTGTGTATTTCATGAAAACATATGTGCATTACATATAACCAAAGCTCTGAAAAATCCGATGTTACTCAAGTACTTTATGAGTGAAATGACCAAGACCAGACAATATAGACGATTTGTGTAGTTGAAATGCAGCTTATTCCACACATGCAACAGCCTCCTTTAGAACTGTACTAAGTTTAATGACAAAAAGTCTTTAATTCTTGTGAATTGCCTTTTTGAATCACCAGGAAGTGATACATACTTCAGTATGTACTAAAAAAAGTTATTTTTGCAACCAAAACCCCACCTACTGGAACACAAAAATCTGCAGAAGTACATGGCAACTTAACACAAATATACTAATTTTAAAAAGGAAAGCTTGGTGCTTTAGCTTTGCCTGGAATGTTACATACCAAGGTAAATGCAAGCACATGGTGGCAAGAGCAAACTTGAGGGATTTACTGCCTAAATAGGAACCCCAATGTTACAGTTACACCTGAGCATTTTTTAATAATTTCAGACAAAACGGAGTTAATGTAGCAGAAACAACAGTCACATTTACTTTACCATTCTTCAACTGCTAGAACCTATGCAGCAGAAATTTCTTTTTTGAATTTCAACTTCAAGGAAGTCTTTAGTATAGATTAGCATTATATCAAAATTCCCAATATAAGCCACACTACATGCTTCTTGCTCCAATACATACATCCCCTGCCCCTCTCTAAATGATTACACCACCATTCTCACACCATAGTTACGCTGTATCACAGCTTGGCTTAATGTAACATTAAGAGTTAAGTCTCTCCCATATCTTGCTCTTGGGATAAGAGAACACCAAGAGGCCAAGTAAAAACCTTTTATAAAGAAGTTCTTGTTTATATTTTATCATGTCCAGCTTCAAAAGCACTCAAAGCTAACTGTGACAGACTTACCTATTTTCATATCAACCCTATAAATGTTATTTATAGACTTAATTATATTTCCAGTATATAACATGACAGATACTTCTCACTTCAGTTTCCCTTAGTAACCACAATGTGAAAAGCTGACTGCAGCATAGTTTGAGGGTCATTTCAAGAACAGAACAGGCAGAGAAAGGCTCCATTTTCAGATACTGCTGCAGAAACAGATCTGTGCAGTAAAAAGTATAGATCTATGAAAATCATTAGAACACCAGAAGGTCAGTATCAAAATATAGCTCCCCCCCAACTTCATTCTGTTATTTCTCCTGATATCAACAGTTTATTAATAATGCTGAAAGCAGGGAACTTGCACACAATTTTATAATTAATGTTATTTACTGTTTGGAATTAGTTACCTAAAAGTGAATGCTCAGATTGATTCTTGAAGGGAAAAAAAAAAAACAAAACAAAACAACAAAAAAAACCCCAACCAAACATTACTTAGCTACTGGTAGCTAATGCCCAATTTAATACCTGTCAAAATAAGCTACTAGATACAAACAACTCTAAGCTTAAAAGGTAATGCAAATTATTGTTTTGCTTTTATTTTGTAATGAAACTAAGTCTGCACTTGCTATGCAATGACATTCTAACAATAAAGCAGTAACTTACAGAATATTCAATAGTCCCTCTAGGCTTTTGAAAAGACATTCGCCGAGCATCTTTCTTGTCTGGGGTCTTCTTCTGGCCAGTGTCTGAAAAAAATTGAGGCAACGTGCGTGTTAAATTCATTTTCCTCTCTCAGTACTGTCACAGGCTGCTGACTACAGCCCCGTGGGCAGACATCTAATTCACCAGTTAAACAGCCTGCTCCCGGTGACTGTGTAACAGACAACCGGCTGCTAGAATAGGAAATTCATTCCTCTGCAATGCTTTAAGAATTTGACCAATACAAACCACTGATAACTAGGAATCAACTAACTGCTATCCAGGAAGCTACTGATGAAGGAAGACTAAATAGGAGATTGACCCCATCAGGCAAGCAGTGTTTCTGGAACTACTGGGTTTAACAGATTCTGTATCACACCCATCCTGCTTTCATCTAGAAGAGAGGTGATCTAGAGTTCCTGTATGTTTGATATAATCTGTGCAGATTTTTTGTCACTGTTTGGTAAGTACAGAGTAGTTAAAGCTTTTCTATAAAACAACACTAGTGTTTAACTTCAGAGTTATCATGCCTATAGCAAATACATACAGCCTGCACACATACAATTAAGATTCTAAATAAATAAACATCACAAGTTAAGAACTGTTCTTTTTATTGGGGCGTTGTATTTTGATGACTTCCATATCACAGGCCTGAACTATACTCTACCTTTTTATACTAATTGGTTTGATATTTATGATAAACACAATGCAACAGTGTACTTGCATAATTCAATGTAAAGCCTTTAATTTTACATCTTTAGAAAAAAGGAGGGGCTTTAACATATCCATTTATATACACACATAAATTTTTGAAATTAATCTGTTGAGAAGTTAGGTCTCTATCACGAGGCCTACACCTTTAAGAGTTAAATACCTGCTATTAAGGAGCCCAAAATATTTACATGAGATACCTTAAGTTTCCATGCCACAATGGGATTAGTTATACTCCCATTCTGATATACTCACATTTCTGTTACCATAACTGAATACATTTAGACAAATATTTCAAAGCAAATTAATAGAAGAAGCAAACCTTAAAAATTGAGAAATACTTGCATGAATTTCATATAGCCAAACTTCTTCACGGATAGTTGAAACTATCAAGATATGGGGTGGAGTAGGTGACAGACCAAACCAAAACCCAACAAAAAACCCCAAACAAATTATATAGGAAGTTCTGCAGTGCCAAGAAAGAGAGAGAGAGAAACATCTTACGTTTGCTGCAGAGGACAACAATAAAGGTGATTTCTAGCAGACTCAATGTAAGTATTGTCCTGTGGTATTTTTTATATAAGGGAATAAATATTGGACTAATTCTACTTCTTTTATATCTTGAAAAAAGTCTCATGGAGAATGTTCGCACACCTACAAGATAAAAATTCACCTATAGATTGTACTACTTATGGTAATATAGCTATGAATAACAGCCAAGACTCTAAACCTACTTTAGAAGTGTCTAGAAATTCTGAAAACCTAGGCACTGTAACTCTGCCTCCTATCTTCATTCGAAACATTAAAAGCTATTTCTTCCCTTTTTTACCAATTGCAGCTTTTAAAAAGTTACATAAAAGAAACCCCTATTTCTATTAGCAGTTTTTAAAGGCACAAGTAACATCTCTAGAGGAAATTAAGCCAACTCAGTAAGGAATGAAATAACTCTAAGTTTGTGTGTAGACTTAACAGTAGCAAACACTCTCCTCTACCAAGTCAAGTATTTTGCTACTAAAGTCTGTACCTACCTTACAACAACAGATCCCTCCCCAGGAAGCAACTGAAAACCTGAAACAACTGCTTGACTGTAGCTTTTCCAAATTTTTCAGCCCATATCAATGATTGCTAGTAGCCTAATCATTTACTTGCAACAGTAGTCTGGTTCACATATTCCTAAGCAAAAGTCAAAGAACGTAGCTGAAGAAAGACTCTTCTCATCCAGAATCCCATATATGCCTTGATTATATATGGAGCATCCCTACTGCAGAACAACCAAATTCTTCCCCTGCTGCTGGCCCTCTCCCCCTTAGAAATAGAGAAACCCTATACTACAAATGTATATACACACTTCATCCGTATATAGGCCAATGTTGTTTGTCTGTTTTCTTTCCTAACTGAAACTTCAGCTTCTTTTTTCCTCTAGTTAGTTCATACATAAGTATCTAAAAAGTCTGCAGACAGGTGCCACTCAAGAGGTCAAGATAAATTATCTTCTCCAGTAATTGAGCAGTAGAATAAAGTCTTGCACAAATAACCACTTCCGCTTCTTATGACAGAAATAAAAAGAAAAAAAGGAAGGAAAGCTGTTTGTTCTTCAGGGCAGGAGGACCTGCTGCTTTAGACTTCAGGGCACTCTAGTAACTTCAGGAAAGTAACAACCAGGCAGAAGGGGTGAGGAACGAAGGTCCCTGTTGGAGGCACCTTGGAGGAAGGCAGATGCCAGAGGAACTCCTACCACAAATTCCCCAGGACCTTACTAGCTCCAGTTTATTTTAGGTTATTTTTATTTAATGTTATTCCCTTCCCTACCGCAGAGTAATTCCTACCCTTCCCATCAGAGCCCACTTTCATCCCCTCCCTCTGTGACAGTTTTACTTTGCCTTCACTGTAGGGATAGGGATTCAGATGTTTCATAACCTGCTGTAAGCTAAGCTCCCCAAGTCAAGAAGAGCTGGAGGCAGGCAGGGCTGAAGTAAAAACTAGGGCTTTCATACAAACAATTACATACCAGGGCTTTGACAGTACTGGGCACAGCTGTCAAAATCCACACCTCTGCCCACAGCCCAAGTGCTCGAGCTGCCAGTTCACACAGAACACATCCATTTCACCTAACATCTTAGAAGCAAAACTAGGAAGTATTTCAACCGTGAAAGAGAGACATGAATTCAACCTCCTTGATGGTGTACTGCAAAGCCTCCAACTACTTCTCACTGAATGAGCCAGCTATTTATTTTTGAGAGAAGTAAACACGTCTTTCAGCCATCCTTGTGCTCCTCGTATTCTAGGAAGCATGTGGAAGTGGACACAGCATAGGAAGCAGTGGTCTGAAAAGTCCTCAACCCAAGAATCAGTCTCATCCTTTCATATTACTCATTTTCCTGATGGCAACCGTTGCACATAAGCTCATCTCATTAGGTTACACACAGTTACGATCTCATCTGCCAGCAGAGACTACCAAAGCCTGATGTACCCAGGCCCCAGGTGTAAGAAAAACCTGACACCACTGAACAAGCTGCACACAACCTCAAGAGTCACCAGTAACTTGTTGGACATGGGATCTGCGGTGCTAGCTTATCAGATGTCTAGCTGTGCTGTTTCAGAGAGAAACAAAACTGTAACATCAGGGTGGATGCTTTAATTCTGTACTGCCATCCTGCAGTACTGGGCCTCCACAACAACTTGAAAAGCTGAAGTGAAAAAGTACGTATCAGGTCCACAAATAACAAGAAAATATTTCTGCTGTCTAGGATTTAAAAAACTGTAACTAGAAATACACAGAAGGCAGTGTTCAAAATGACACTGAGCCAATATTTAGTCGGAATGAACGCATGCAGAAATTCAAGATTGAATGACTGTAGCATAAGAATGGTTACATATAATCAACACACCAAGAGAGAAGGATGAACTGTTCCAACATATTTATACAAGATAGGAAGAGTGGTTTTAGGAACGTAACAGTTTGTAAATAAGGCAGCTTTGACCTTAGGATATGTAACAGTCAGTGGCATTATTCAACTGAAATTTGAAGATAACTAAAGTTAAATTCCAACATTTGTGCGTGGTATCAACTAACAGCCTCTCTATGGTCTTGTGCCATTGAATTTTGGTTGGCCGGAAATATTCCTGTGGCACTGCTAGTTCAAACTGACATGACAAGAGTGACATTTCTTAGCATGTTATCTGAAGTGAACGGTAGACCTTAAATTTTTCTGTTTGCTGGTGCTTCTAGCACATCCTTCTGGCAATAAGAGCTGGTAAAGAGAACTCAAGATTTGTACTGTGAGTAAAATAATACATGCTAAGAACTGCTTAAGAGTATCTTCAAGATCTTCATAAAGCAGAATTTATTAAGTTCTCCCTTACCCTACTATTTTTCTGCATGAGAAACTTAAAACTCAAAATGCTTCTCAGCTGTTGATTCTCTATTCATTTCTATGTTAACAGCAATTACAAAGATCACTTTTTCCAGATGAATAAACTGATAAATCAAACAGGTATCCTCCGAGATAAAGCAAGTAAGCCAGAAAAGCCAACACAGTGCCAATTGCTTGCAAGTAATAACCGAGTTTACCATGATCTAGATGAGAAAAAGATGATTTATTCCCTCTCATCTCCCAACAAGAACCGCAAGTTATGCACTAGATTTATATGTGTTTAAGAAAAAGGCAGAGGCGGCAACCTTGTTAAATGCTTGTCTAGGGCACAGTTTTTCACAGGATCTTAGAAGAAAAAACCTCCCATGCTGCACATATGGAGTAAAGATTTTTAAAAACTGAATCACAAAAAAGCAAGCAAAGAAAAGTAGTCTAAGTATTTGCAGATACACTGTTATTTAGCAGCACAGGAAACAACTTTCTAATGGATAAAACAGAGGAGGCATAGATATTACATCTTTATTAGATTAGTTCTGCTTAATAGCCATTAGATCTTTAAGATCTATTCATATATAAACAAAAAATATTAAAGTAGAAAATCTTCATATTCCGTAAGGCCTGCTGATTTCGATTTCCTAACAGCAGGAGCTACATCTCAGTAGAGGGACTGTCTCATTGATCCTCCTCTCTCTCCTGCAGATAGATAGGCTTATGCTAATTACTGAAATATTCTCAGTTATTTTCCAGTGTCTTAAGATCCAGAAACAAAGAGGCCCTAATAGTAGCCTACAAGATGCTCACAGCCTGCAGTCTTCTAGCCAAAATGGTTAGGATTCGGACCAAGGCAATGTCATAAACAATGCCCTCTTTAGTGTCCTCTTGCTAAGCAACTGCTACTTATCTGCGATTTAGTCTTTCTGACAGTCATGCTCTCAACACTCTTGATCCTTATCACTGCTCTCCACATGA